CAAAACTGTATGGCAAAAAGGCCTGCAACAGAAGGGTTAAGCAAACCATGTTTAGTCCGTTTCTCAGAATGTAAATAATAAAGAGGTTTATTTTTTGTTTACGGCACCAGGCCAGAAAGCAGGAGACTATGAGTTCTAGTCCTGCCTTGGGCATGAAAGCCAGCTGGATGACTCTGGGCCAGTCATTCTCTCTCTCTCTTTCTCACAGCCCAACCCACTTTACAGGGTTGTTGTTGTGGGGAAATAGGAGGAGGAAGGAGTATTAGGTATGTTCGCTGCCTTGAGTTATTTATAAAAAAATAAGAAAGGTGGGATAAAAGATCTAAAAAAAAAATAGAGGGTGATTTTTACCTGTAAAATCTCAATAATTTTTAACTTGGTATCCATCACAGTGACATCTTCGCTCTCCACAATGTTGGTTTGTTTGCTTCGGTGGACAACTGGGGGAATATCAGGTGAAGAGATAGGAAAGATAGAACCTCTGCTGAGAACCATTTGAGTCATCATCTCTCCCACACCATGAATTGTTCTCATGACATTGTTTCCTGGGAATAAGAAAGATAAAAAGGGAAACTCTGACAGGCAACAGGGAGGCTGAGAGTCATGAGATTGACTTATAAGAACAATAATAAAGTAAGTTCCCCTAAATTGAACTCAGATTCCGGTGACATCATGGACGCATCTGTTCAGTTTGGGCAGCAACTTCCTAATCTAGCTTATAGCTGGGTAGGTCCAACCCTTCTTAGCATTTTGTGATCAGCTCAGATTGTCTGAGGTGCCCCTACATGTTCCAGGTGTAGTCAATAGTGAATTACACCTAATTTTAAAAATCTATGAGTCTGCTCCCATCTACAAAGAGCAAAATGATCAAATGTTTGTGCTTGGCTCACCAGCTGGGTAAAATCAAGACATCTCTTCATGCCTCTGAAAAACAAGAAGGTCTCATCTTTCCTCATTATTCTAGAATGGGATGTGCTCAAAAATCTGTCCAAGAAATCACTGTGCCTATAAGTTCCACATTGCCTATCCTTCTCTTAATTAAAACATGCTAACCAAGAACAAATCTGGACAAAAGGCACACCCTCCCAGGCAATGTTATTGTGTTAAACATTAGGCTTCTAGCCTAGTCTTTTCTTTGATACGCTAGCTCTTAATTGAACAAATTTTGTTTTCCATAGAAAGTGTTAAAAGATATAACTGCTCCATCAGCACCGTTATATGAACATATATACCCTCATCTATTCCATCAGTAGTGGCTCTGTTATAACTGGCATGAGAAAATTTATGCCTTCCAGATGCTGCTCTCGGCTTTCATCAATAACGGCCATTTAGTTGCCAAGCATGGCAGAAAATAGTAGTTCTGTAACATCAGGAAAGTCTCAGGTTTCCAAGTCCTCTTCTACTTAAAAAATATTTCCTGACTTGCTACCTGATATTCTTTTAAGTGCAGTTGCCAGAAACTATCTGAAAGCATGGTCTGTATCACTGAATAATGGCCATGCCAAAGAGTATCAATTCTCAAACATTTCAGTGAAGCTCATTCATAAAACCACAATGTCAACGTTTTCTTTGGAGTATCTCCTATAAAGCTAAACCTTACTTTTAAAACAAGTAAATAAATGGGACAGACACACCTATTCTGAGCCTTTAACAACTTCACAACTCAATGAAATTTGTCAAATAAAAATGATACTCTTACTAATCCTTCCCAGAAGAATAATAGAAAGAGACATTAGAGAAAAGCATTTCAGTTAACAGTTAAGAAGAAATTAAATTAAGGGGGATTAAATTCTTTCTATTTAAACATCGTAATTTTACACTACATTGAATTAATGCAGCTGGGAAGAGTTCTAACAGGGAAACAAAACAATTTAATTTTAGCATTTACAGTTGAAATAGGTTATGACACAAGATCTAGTTTATATCAATCAAGAAGAGCAAAAGTCATAAGCATATCAGCTTTAGATGAGAACTTTAAGAAATTTCAAGAGCAAGGCAATTATATTTCAAATTAACACAGAGCAGGTGTTGAAAAAGCTACTGGAGTGAAACAGAAATCGCAATTATGGTGATTACCGGGTGGGTTTTTTTCCCCCTCCTTCTCTAAAGGGAACCTGGAAATTTTTGCAGAACAAGAATTACCAAAGTGCTAAACGTGCTATTCTGCATATGAAAAGAGTGAAAGACAAGAATCCCAAGGGAGCTCTAGCTGATCACAGAACATGTTGCTATCCAGGGGTGTGCATGGGATATAGTCAAAAAAGTCAAGATGGCAGCCACAGCAGTGTCATTGAAGCACCATCAAAGCTTATGTGACACACCTAAAAAATGGACAGTGTTGATCACACCACTGCAGGCACCATCTCACTTTTTTTTATCAGACCCTGCAGACATCATTATGGAAATATCCATTATGCGCAAAGCAATGCGTCACGTTAAGATTTATACTCAATATATTAAATGTAATGGAAAGAATATCATGAAATTAATTTTTATTTCAAGATTCTTTTAATTTTCTTTTACCTATTGTCACAAAGTCACTGTCATAAAAGTTCATCACTTGAAAAGAAATCCTCTTTGTTGCACTTCAACAAAGGTTGAAGAAACCCTGGTTTAGATAGTGAGTTTGCCATTATTTATTGACTGATGTGATTTATATCCTGCTTTTCTCCTTCAGCAAGTAGCCAATGCAACTAAGAAACTTCATCTAGAAGTATTCTCATTCTTTAAATTGCTCCCTGGCAGCAATAATCTTGAATCTTTCCTTCTACAAGGGCCACCATATCTGGACTGCAAAACTCCAGAAGATCTCTAGATCATAGGAAGACAGAAACTTCCAACTCTGATGATTTTCCAGATTTTTGCAGCCCAGTGATGGTAGCACAGTGGAAGTAAAGACCATGTAAATGGAGTATTTAGTGAATGCTTCAACACTGAGCAAGGAGTAAGAAAAAGATTGAGGTATTCCCTTGGTTAATTCATGTATTTATGGATGACTGTATAAGGAATTCTTGTTGCGACTTTAGAGGTGTGTTGGTTGGGGATGTCAAAGTGCATGGGGGATTTTTTTGTATATGTATGATACTGTAATGTTGGCTGAAAATCCAAATAATATGCAGTGTGCTAGCTAGACTGTGTGATGCAACAAGGAGTATGGCTCTGAAAATTAAAGTATAAAAGATGAAGGTAGTTGTGTCGGAAGGGGAAATGGACTTTATTTATTTATTTAATTTGTATGCCACCCATCTCCCCCAAAGGGTGACTCTGGGAGGCTCACAATTAAAACCAAACACCCATGAACAATTAAATACCACATAGATAATTAAAATTAATTAATCCATTAAAAAGACAAACTGCAAAACAAACCCTATACATAGTAAGTTATATATAAATGGGGGGGGGGAATCAGAGCACGTTGGTGAATTATTTTGGTACAAAGTTTACTAGAGATGGAGAAAATGATGGGAAAATAAGATGTGCAATTGCAAGTAGAATGGTAGTGGGTAATGTGATCTCTTGCAAGGAATAAATATTTGTTGAAATACATGACAAGGTTGTGTATAAGAGCGTGCTTCTGCCCATATATGAGGGAAGAGTGAATGGTTCAAGAGGAAAGGGAAGATGGAGAAAACATTGACTCGATGGGACTGATGAGATCCTCAAAAAGATAGAGGTGAAAAGTTTAAGGCCAAAAGGCAACCTATAAAGAAGTATATGGATGTCGTAGAACTAAGAATGGTTTGCAAGGACAGAAAGATACGGGGGAATAAAGTGAACACTGTTAGTATAAGCTAGTTTTAACTAGTTGCCCTTTCTTTTTTTAACCTCATAGCATTAATTCTTTCGCTTAGCATTTCTTACTTCTTTTCTGTGTTCTGTATAACACTGCTTACTCCAAAAAGTAATAGTATGTTAGGTATGTCTGTATGGGTGTATTTTAAATTTTGAATCTTTTAAAGAGAGCCAGTTCGGTGTAGTGATTAAGGCATCAGGCTAGAAACCAGGGGACTGTGAGTTCTAGTCCCATCTTAGGCATGAAAGCTGGCTGGGTGACCTTGGGCCAGTCACTACTGTTAGCCCCAGGAAGAAGAAGGCAATGGCAAATCACTTCTGAAAATTCTGCCAAGAAAACTGCAGGGACTTGTCCAGGCAGTTGCCAGGAGTTGAGACACCTTCAAAGGTATGCACACACACACACACACACACACACACACAATGTTTCAAAACAGAAACATTTCTGTTGGGTCATAAGGCAACAGCTAATAAAGATGACCTGCATGTAATGCTAATAAGAGTAAGTCTAAATCAAATAAGTAGAGTTATATGTCTTTGGGTTTCACAAGTGTTTTTCTCACTCAAGAACAGCCTCATTGTTTTATCTGATATACTGTATAGAAGTATTTCTTGATGACTGATTATTTAATATATAAGTAGCATATTTATTTCTTGAAGAACCCTAAACATGATGAAATCAATGATTTTATCCACATGGAGGGTCATTGATCATTTTAGGGGGTCTTGGTCTCACAAAGTCTGAGCTTCTCCATTACAGATGTAGAGCAGTTAAATTCAAATGCAATTTCTCACACAATATCCGCCTGCTGCACTATCTTCTGCTTAACGTATTGTTGGAAATAAATGTTAACTAGCTGTAACTATAATTCATTTACCACTATGCAGCAAAAATAAAGCTGCAGGTGTGACAGTAATTTAACGACTACAGACTGGCAAGCGTTCAGATGGGAAAGAAAGTACTTGACATATTTTAGATGGCAAGTGTCTGGCTTTCGTTCCACCTTATTTTGAAGTTCTTGTCTCCTGCTGAAAGTCAGTTGCTGTCACAAAAAATCAGAGTGCACAACTCATTTAATTCAGCAGAATTAATACATGCATTTTATTCTAAAAGACATTTCAAGTTTGTTTTGAATACTTCATCATGTTTGATATGAGTTATATCTTAAAAATAAAAGTATACCCATGCTGAAGGTGTTTGTTGAATTCAGGTCCAAAAATACATTTTGAGAGACTTCTAATACTAGTCTCAAAGGAGAACAGAACATTTGATGTCTCAGCTCAGATTAAACCCTGAATCTGAGAAATCTCTGAAGGTAATTCTCATGAAATTCATGGACCACCATGAACTTGTACATTTTTTAACAGCAACTTCTTCCCTTTTTTTTAAATGTTAACTTGGCTCCTAAGTTTTAGAACCATCCACGCTTCCCCAATTTAGGGAGGCTGAACGGAGATAATTTCTGAGTTTCATCCAGTAGGAAAGATGTCTCCCATCTGTATGAATACAGAACAAATGAAGAACTAAAAACATGCAGTACCTTGAGGAACACTTCAACATTATAAATAAATCACACAAATTACTAGCTTTATACGTGGTGTTCACCTCTATGGTGTCAAATGTTCAGAAATAACTTTCCCAAGAAGTAATCAGGACGTAACACTCCACCTCAGAGATATTTATCTGCTGTGATCCACCAAAACATAGCTGAATCATTTGGTCTGGTGGCCTGAATGTATCTTTTTGGACACC